TCAGGCAAGGAGTTGCACTAAACTCATCCGCTATGGTTGGAATAGGTGGGGGCTGGAAAGTGTCTGCAGTGTTAGGGTACCTGAGATGGGTGATGGAGGGTGCCAAGGGGGTAGTTAGCTGCTGAGTGGAGTGGGAGACTTGGGGGGGGAAGAACTGCATAGCTGCCAACTTTTGTGCAGGATAAATGTATCTAGGACCATAAACTTCAGCTGAATATCAATATGCCCTGCCCCAGGCAGTGGAAGGGGTCAGACATGGAGCTGCACACACCTTGGCATGAGTGGCTGGCAGGTGGATGGATGCTGAGGTGTGTGCGGGGAGCAGGCGGGTGCTGCGTGAGAGCTGTAGGAAAGCTGGGTGGGCAGTGGCTAAAGGCAGCTGGGGTTGTGGAGGTGTCTGGGTGGAGGAGGGGGTGAGTGGGGAGGAGCTACAGGGAAAGATAGGGAGATGCTGAGTGGCAGGGGACTGGGCACAGCTGGGGTGTGTGGGGCTGGCTGGGGGAGTCCTTGGGAAACCTGGGCGGTAGCTGGTGTTATGCGGGTAGTGGGATTACTGGAGGAGAGGCTGGGCTTCTGACACCTGCGGGGAACACAGGCCCAGTACTGGCTCCCCGCCTCCCCTCACTTCCCCTGCTGCCTCCACAGCAGCTGCAGCTGGTGCCACTTGCCTGCTCCTCCCGCTTGTTGCCTCGCTCAGATCCAGCAGGGGGAGCAGCGAGACAGAGGCCGCTTGGCAGCCTAACTCAGCAGGTACCACGGCGCCCTCTGGTGGGCGTGACCTGAAATCGCAGGGGATTCCTGCAGCTCAGCTGTGCGGGATATACAGTACTGCCTGGCCGCGGGAATGCGCCTGTCTGTGAGTAGCCGCGAGATGAGAGCCATTTGGCAGACCTGAAGGTGAATGCTTCTTGGGGGCAAGATGTCAATTCTCGCTTAAATCAATGCGAATTGAGGGCATTCAGCACTTTGCAGGATTGGACTCATTGAGCAGAATCTGGCGCAGAATAATTGTATGTTATTATTTGCTGTCTATTTAATCATGTTTTACACAGGTTCATTTGCGTTTCACTATTTGAAACTAACAAGCACTATGAGCTATGTAACATTTTTACAACGATTTATAATTTCATCAGACATCCGAAAATGTCAGAAATAAATATACTGTAAAAACAATACTTTGGGAAAATAACTCTATACCAGAGATTCCCCCCCCAAAATACTAATTACAGATAGGTTGCACAAAGAGCTTGAAAATGTGACTCATTATTTGTTTTCAAGACCCCAACATTAATTATTTTTTTTTAAAATCTCATGATTTTAAGCCACTCATGATTTTTGAGGGAGGTCTGACTTATTATGGATTGGGCTTTGCAATACATAATATTACTGTATTATAATTATTTGTGTTGCCATAGCACCTAAGAGCTCTCCCCATAGGCCCACTGTGCTAGGAACTTATGCGAATTAATTTCCTTTTGCGTGTGTCTCTGATTATACAGTAGAGAATATACACGGTGTAAAAAAATTTATAGGCATAAATTTGGGATGACCTGCATCTCCAATGAGCAAGAGTTTGTGATGATGTGCCATTCCTGCAAGTTTATTCATGAGTAAATTCATCCCAAACATATGCCAATAAAAGCCTTATGCCACACTAAACCTTACCACAGCATTACTCCCTTTGTTTACAACTGTTCCTCAAACTTTTGAAAGTTTAGTGCTCCTTCAGAAAAATAAAATTGCATCCTCCTTCAACCCTGCCATATGTTGTCAGAGGCCTACCCATATTTTAGAATTTCAATAAAATTAAACTGTAATTTAAAATATGTTCTTAAATGTTTATTCAAGGAATGATGTATATTTAATATTGGATGGTAAGAAATGTTTGAATAGATGTTATTTCATTATTTATAACTGAAACAAAATATTATTTCTCAACTTTATAATAGTATTATTTAAGTGGCATATAGTTGCTATTGCTAAGTGGCAACTTTAATTTCCTCTAAGAAAATATCTCACATCCATAAGCTCCACTGGGGCCTTCAGGTTTGGCCTCCCTTTAGCAGGGCTCAGATATCCCACTGGGCTTTTGGGCCTGTCTCTTTCTCGATTGGGGGGGGAAAGTAAGTGGACATATCTCCCAAGTGCACCCACTGGTGGCACAAAAATGAGCACAGGTTGTGTAGATCTTCATCCTTTCCTATATGCTTTAAGCAGTGAAATAATTAACACTGGCATTTAAAGTATCATTGTCATCTGAGTTAGCATCCACTGAAATGATGGGGCAATTCATACCTCAGAACTATTGTCTCAGGCCGCCTCTGACATCTGGAAGGAAGAAAGAACATTGTGTCCCATCCGAGGGTTTCCTTGCCGCTTCTCTGATGCTCTACCCCTCCCCTCATTTCTGAATCCTCCTCTGTAATGAAAAGCTCTAGTGCATACCACTGCTGTTGCTCAGAGCTTTCCCAAGCAGCAGCAATAGAGTGAAAATGATTTAATTCTTATCACACTTACTGTTCCCATAGTATACCCAATAAAAACTGGAAAGGCACTGGTGAGTTTTTGTTTGGGGCAGCTTGGGAAAGCAACGAGGAGACGCAGAAACACAGAAGAAGACTGCAGAATTAGGATGATAACTTTGTACAGATTTACATTCTGTTCATGTTTGGAAGGGTATTTTCACACCCACAGAAGCTAGAAGCTTAATTTTTGTTTTAATTAAAGCTTAGATTTTTTCAGAAATTAATGGCACTTACACAGGAGAACTGCCTCCTCACTGCCAGTGAATGAGTAAGTGGAGTTTTCAAGTCCTGCTCATAGTAACTAAAGAAAGCCATCTTGGAGCTGGAGATACTGGAGCAGGCTAAGCGATCACACGCTGCTACTGAGATGTTAGAGCAGAAGGAGCACATGGTGGCCAACTACATTGCACACAGCCTGGCCATGCATGAGTATGCCGTGCATGGCGGCATGAGGAGAGCCAGCAGCAGGTGGCCATGTTCAAGTGGTTGCTGGCCATTATGGCTAACAGGACCCAGAGCAACATGGGCCGGCACCTGCCCTGGAAGAGATGCATCCTCATCCTTCAGCCACTCCTCCTATATACCATGATCTGCAGCCCATGACCTCAGGGCGGGGTTTCAGCCAGAGTATGGAAGGAAGTATATCCTTTGTATCCACTGTTAGACTGTAAAACGTTAAAAGCATCAGCACAAATGTGAAATAAATTATTGATTTGTTCAATCTCTTGTTTTGTCTGATCTGTTAAAGAGGGGTACTTATCCTACATAGTTTTATGTAGGTATCACCAGAACACCAATTACTCAGTGACATAAGTGTCTCCTATTTTGGAAAGCAGTAAAGACTCACCCCCTGCCAGTCTCTAGGGGCACTGCTGGCAGGGCTAGGTGGAGAAGAAAGGATCAGGGCCAAGGAAGTGGACCCTCCTTTACAATACAGTAGCAGTAATGTTCATTGGACAGGCGAGGTCATTAACAACACCCTACATGAAAATTCAGCAGATAGTCCCTATCAAGCTTCAATTACACAGTTGTAGTAATCTGGTCAGACTCTAACATTTCCCCTTTCCTCTATGTGTCCTTCCAAGTCCAGGATGCCTGAACACAAGGCATCCCTTATTTCCCTAGCTCTCCTGCACCAACCCCCAGTTGGCACATATTCTGGCTGCTTTAATCTAGCTAGCTCAGATATTGATAGCAATGAAACTGCAGCAGCTTCAGCGGTGACTGTACAACCCTGCCTGGAATGCTCAGTAATTATTTGTGCAGCTAGGCCACACTGAAGCCTGTGCTGCCACAGCTTAATGGATACCGGTACCCAGACTAGACAGATTAAAGCTAGCTTGGGTATGTCTACACAAGCAGCAATCACACCCCATGATTGCAGTGTTGTAGGCATATCCTTAAGTATGTCTACACTGCACACTAAGCCTGGGCTCTGATTCAGGTTTCAGCCCAAGCCCCCCTTCCATCCACACACAAATCAGTCTGACTCAGATCAGCAGGCACTGAGGACCCAGGTCCTAGGACCCTGCTAGGACGGTGGGTCAGAGACCCCGTCATTTTGCAGTGTGGAGGCAGGTCAAGCCACAGACCCAAGTCAGAAGGTCTGCATAGTGCAGTAATGATACATTAACACAGCTGTGAGACCCGGGTCCAGCAACTGGGCTTGGAAATATCAAGTACACAAGCAAGGGTCCCACAGACCCTGGCTTAGAGTGCAGTGTAGACATACTCTAAGTCTCTGTCTCCAAGTATATTTTTGTACTGTGTCTTTGTATATGTCTGTCCGTTTTTCTCTGTAGTGTTCTGAGTCTATTTTGTGATTTTGGTTGCCTAAGTTTGTCTTTGTAGTCTGTCTCTGAATCCTTGTAGTCTGCCTCAGTATATGCATCTGCCACTCCAGCAGACTACCTCACTACAGCGAAACGTATAAAACTAAGGCTGATTGTTACCAAATATAAAATCAGTGGCTATGAACCAGAACTGGAAACAGGGAGTGAGAAAGCACCAAAATCCAGAGGAGGACAGTGCAATCCATCTGAAAGAGGAGAGACTGAGACAGAAAAACACTTTGTTCGCCACTGTTCAAAATTGAGAGAAAAGTGTTTCCTCAAAATCTTAAACATGATGAGACTTTTCATCAAAAAGGAAGGCAGAAAAGCTGGGGGAAGGAGAGAGCCAGTGATGGCAACCTACCAGCCCAGACACGGACCCAAATGAAAGAGGGATAATAACCCATTCCCCAAACACAATGCTAAACCCCTAGGTGGGGCAAACGGTAACTAACTCTGTCAGTCACCAGAGGAGCACATCTTGGACAAGACATGTTTGCCTTGCCACGCTAATGACTTGCTGAACTGCTGAGAGCCACATCCAGTGGGGGAGGGAAGGGGTGTGTGCCTCTCTCGGGGAGGGGACGCGTGGGTGCCTCCTTCGGCACTGGCAGCGACTCTGCCCCCTTCCCACTTCCTCTCCCCCTGGCGCTCCGGCCCGGCTGCGCGGCCCGACGGGGGATTAGCTGCGGAGTGCGTGCGGGGCTCGGAACATGGAGGGCTACTGGCTCTTTCTCGTGCTGCTGGTCTCGGCGCTGCTGCTCGGCTTCCTCTCCGTGCTCTTCGCCCTCGTCTGGGTCTTTCATTACCGGGAGGGGCTCAGCTGGGACGGGGGCTCGGCGGAGTTCAACTGGCACCCGGTCCTCATCATCACCGGCTTCATCTTCATCCAGGGGATTGGTGCGTGAGGGGCGCCTGCACAATAGGACGCGGGGAGCGCCGGGAGGGCTCGGGGGGACCCGGGAGAGGAAGCGTAGGGGGCTGGGAGGAGAAGGGACAGGGAGTGCCAGGGGCTGTGGGGAGAGGAGGGGAGCCTGGGGCTGGTGGGACTGTGCGGACCTGCTGGGACAGGCCAGCGAATAGACTCGTGTTGACATTGTTATTGTTGACAGCAGTAAACTAGAGAGTCGCGTTCTCTATAGTGAGCGCCCAGCCCCTCCAGAGAAGGGACAACGGGTCTTCAGTAATTCGCTCAAATTGCTGGGTGTGTTTTGCTCTGGGGCCACTTATCTACCCTGGCCTGGCATTTCTTTGCGCTGTGAGTAACGCCGCGGGGTGTTTGCAGCAGGCAGGCATTGTGCAGCATTTATGCAAGTTGTGGAATTAAATGTCAGGGCTGACGCGTTACTCTGCTCCTCTTCCTCATGCTGTGTTTGGGTCTCTGAAGCCCCGTGAACAAGCAAATCAGAAAAGAGAAGGGAGGTTCTGCACCACTGAAACCATGCCCAGGAAAGTGCTGACTTAGCCAGAGCAAACTGCAGCATCATAAATGCCATTTAGAAAGCAATCAGTCAGCCTGGCTTTAGTGTAAATCGCCCCATCATGCTTCCACTTCTTGTTTTATTTAATTTTAACGCGGCAGCCTAACTATTGTGAAATGGCCAGGACGGAGAGGGAGCTGTTTTCAATAACTCTATTTTTGGTTGCGTAGTCTTCAAACTTTCAAGCGCTTCCTGTTAAACATCTGTACCGAAATTAGTCCCTGGCATCTTTGTTCTAAATGCAAAGGTTGTTCAGAATGGGCTAATAGTTACTTTCCATTTTGGACTGTGACTTAAATTTTATTACTTCGAATGTTTGCTAGCTCCCCAGAAACAACGAATGAAGACATAATATGGTGCACAATTGTATCTTTATGTAATATGGGGGAGAAGAGGAAAACTTTCAATTCTCTTATTAGGCTTTAAACAACAGAGAAAATGGTTGGAAAGCTCTGGATGAGTGGAATAACAGTGACATTACTCTATTATGTCTATGATTTGGTCCAAATTGAGACTAAAAAGTGCAAAAATAAAGGTATTAGACTGCATCAGAAAATGTTAAGTGTTGGGTGGAAATAAAAGGGATAGAATGATAGAGGAAATGGACATAGAAGAATAATAGACAAGGTTCCAAGAATCTCCTCCCACTGCAATCTGGCAAAATTCTTGTTGGCTTCAATAGGAGCAGAATCAAGTCCTACATTAACAATGTCCAGGTGCAGTGCAGGGGAAAAAAAAAGTAAAATACCAGATTATTTTACTTTTTTCTTTTTGTTCAGCATTTAAACTCTTTTGGAGGCGGGCAGGGAATAATTTCTAGTCCTTTTGTTTGCAAAAAACTTCAGTATAAATGTAAATCAGGGTCTTCCCCCCCCTACTTTTTGCAATAGTGGTTAATTTAGAAGGTTATTTTTGACCACTTTAAATACCAAAGTTTTTGTTTGGTTCACTGCTGAATGATGTTCCAGATTCATCCAGTAAGCTCACTAGTCCAAAACATCTCGATATTTCATAGGAAACAGCTGCAAGCACATTCCTGCAGCAGTAAAGTCAGGCTGCATCTACACTAGGAGGCTATCTATGTCAGCTATGCCCCCTAGTGTAGACACAACCTACGCAGATGGAAGAAGTTTTTCTTTCAGAGTGGCAACACCACCTACCCAAACCACTTTATCTACATTGATGGAAGCACTCTACAGTGGGGGTTGTTAGCCCTGACCAACACAGCTAGGCTGATGTAACTTTTCAATCTAGACAGAGCCTCAGATTTAAAATCAAAACATAAGGGTATGGGTGGCCTTTTAGTTTTGGTTGGGACAGGGAGTTGTGATTTTAAAAATAAAATCTGAAAATCATTCCTTCAGTGGGGAAGTAGTCCCAGTTTGGTAGCTTAAAGTACAAATATTTCTTTTTTGTCCATTTCTAATAGGTTCAGTAGATCACATGATGTGCAGTTTTAGGATCTGATTACACTTCTAATGGTAAAACTCCTATTGAATTCAGTAGGAGATGGATCAGACCTATGACAGGGTGAATAGACCGTCACAGGTGAGGAAGAGGCCAGAGAGGCCCTTGTGGTAGAATTAGCCCCACCCTTCTGGCCCTGTCAATCATATACATTATGGAGGAAGGCCAAAAGGGAGGAAACTGCAGTCAGCAGGGGGGAAAGAGCAGGATTTCCCTAGGCCAGTGGCTCTCAACTTTTCCAGACTACTGCACCCCTTTCAGGAGTCTGATTTGTCTGGGTACCCCCAGGTTTCACCTCACTTAAAAACTATTTGCTTACAAAATCAGACATAAAAATACAGAAGTGTCACAGCACACTATTGCCGAAAAATTGCTCTCTCATTTTACCATATAATTATAAAATAAGTCAATTGTAATATAAATATTGTACTTACATTTCAGTGTATAGTATTTAGAGCAGTATAAACAAGTCATTGCATGAAATTTTAGTTTGTACTGACTTCGCTAGTGCTTTTTCTGTAGCCTGTTGTAAAACTAGGCAAATAACTAGATGAGTTGATGTATCCCCTGGAAGACCTCTGGGTACCCCTGAGAGTATGTGTACCCATGGTTGAGAACCACTGCCCTAGGCACCAGGCTGTAGGAGTGACTCCTGATACTGCAGAGTGAACTCCTAGGTAGGAGACCTCAACCACTGAAGAGCATACAGCAGACTCCGAGGGCAAGACAGACAGGTCGAGTCTGCCATGGAGACCTAGCTAGAGCTATTTCTCCAAACCCATTACCTTGGGACTGGATTGTTGACAGCACTGTAGATTCACTAGCAACCCCCCCCCCTCCCCAATCTCTTTTTCTGGGACCTCACGGGGAAAGTATCCCAGAAGGCATGGGGGTTTGTGACTTCCATTTTGATCTCCCAACCAGAGAGACTTAAAGAGGCCCACAAAGGGCAGACCACCTCCTGCAAATAGTATGGAAGTGGGTCTGGTGTTGTGACCACCCGGTGTAGATAACTGGGCTTGGTCAGGTTCCCCCACTCCCTGAGGGAGGAACCACCAAGGACTCTGTTACAAGGCCCTTAATCAGTCTGCATCAAACTAACAACTTTTATTTACAAGCAGGGAATTTATTTTTGCAGAAAGTAGACAAGTCTCTCTCTACAGACCTTTCCCCCACCACCCCGAGATTTGGTATGCCCTTCTGCTGTGACCAAAGGTTTTATTTAAAGAAATATTTGCACAGGGGATTTTTTAAAAAGTAAATAAGGTCATCACAGCTCAAAATAAATAAGTGTAAAAAGAAGTCATTGGTAAAAGAATTATCTGTAATATTAAACTCTGAGTACAGTTAAATTGTCAAATAACAGGAAAAGCAAATGTGGAGAATGAAAAGAAGATTGTGCAAGAAGTTGGGATTAATACAAGATTAAGAACATAAACAACAAGATTATGGACCTGATCTAAAATTCACTGAAGTCAATTGAAAGACTGTCATTGACTTCAAAGGGATTTGGAATTGGATCAGGCCTTAAAATAGGGCACCCTTTTGTTCACATACTGTGAAAAGAAGTAAAATTTCAAAGTAATTAATATTGTATTAGAATGGAATCTCAAATTAAATTTAACTGTGGGATATGAATGGGTAACCAGATCATCACGAGCTGAGAATAGAATGAGCACATGCGGTTATTTAAGGGTGAGAAGGAAACAGAGTGGGTGGAAAGTTATGGAAAAGCAGAAGTGTGAGGTATGAAAAAGAAGCATGGACAGTGGTTGAGAAGTAGACTTGTAAAATGACTGAGAAAATCTAAATTCAGTGCAGGAAAAAGGGAGAAAGCTGGTTGTTTTGCTGTTTTTGTAAGTGACGCAAGACTAAGCATAACTGGAGAACAGACATAGTAAATGAACTGTGAAAGAAAAAGGTGCATGGGCCCCTACACAGAGGTAAAAAATCTTTATTGCATGGCACCAGCTCTACCACCAAGATGAGTTTTGACACAACAACGTGTACGAGGATGAGCAGTTTCAGAAATTAGCACACATATTTAATGTAGCTAAATTAAATATTAATGAAATTATTAATTTTCTTAATGAATAAAATAAGTTCATAGCAGTTTTTAGAAATACTTGTCACTGTTTCAGTATCTTTTTGATGGAGGATTGTGCAGGATTGGAGAAAGCCTCAAAGCGGTATTCCCCTCGCTTTTTTATGTCCACCCTGAACTGCCCCCTAGTTACTACAGTGATGGGCATGGTGACAGTATATGAACATAAACAGAAAATAATTTAGGTTCCTCCACTTCATGGGAGTGGAAGGGATGGTGAGCCCTTAATCATCTGAGTTTTAAGGGCAACATTTTCACTGGAATTCTTCAGTTTCACAAAACTTTGAATACCTCTGTGTTGCACCTGCAAAATTCCCATTTGTCACTGTAAAATGGATAATGGAAGCAAATAATTACCAGTTCAAGTGCAGTTATGGAGGCCATAACAACTGTGCCTCAAACATAGTCTGAACAACTCCTATGGCACTCCCACGAAGAGACACAAATAAGCAACTATAGTGGAACCCAAACTTTTTCTCGAAGTTGCCTTTACAAGAAGAAATACTACAGTAAATTAGGATCATGCCAAAGTGGGTGACCAAGGAACCTTATCATGTCTGAATAGTTGCTAAACTCTTGGACACATAAATACCCATTCCCACAATTGATCCAAAACCCAGTGGAATTTTGCCCTTATAATTCAATTCTGAAAGTTTCATAAAAAGATGATAGAAAATGCATTACATCTTCCTCAATCTATTTGTGCCAACCAAGTTTCTAACTTTCTTATTTATGAAGGAATCTCAGGAAGATCTAGAAAGGTATGCAAGCCAGTGTTCATCAATGGGGATGATGGAATAAATCTTCCCAGTTTATTTAGAGTGTCAGCTCTGTGAAGTATTATAAGTCCTATCTTAAGTTGGGCCTCTATAAACTTTAAGAGTTTAATGGTAAATGAAATTTTTATTAATTGAAAAAGCATCTTATGCTTAGGTTAGCATTTAGTAGGAAAGTTATGAACTAATTTACCAACAGAGAATTGAGGAACTGAGGTGCATTCCAAAATATTTTAAGAAGGGCTGAAAATGAGGGGATGTGATGGATATGGGATTGTTGATAAAGCTATTAGTTATTTTTATCAAGAGATAATTCTTGCTGAGTATGTACCTCATGCTAGAACTCAAAGCAGAGGTTGCACCAGTCTGATCTTGTACAGCCAGGGACATTCAGGTAGGATTTTCCATATGATGAAGTATGGCTTAAAAACTCCCCACTAGAATTACGGTTACTTTATCCAGAATACCTGGATACACTTAATTGGCCCTGAAGCTACAAAGATGGTCTTTGATATAGAATAAAGGGAAACCTACCCTATAAAATTTAAGACTATGTGGAAAGAAAGTGCTGTCTCTTGAGGCCAGAGCAACACCTGATGCCACATGCTCCTTGCTTCCCTTGAAATACCTGGGTCATCAGTGATGCCAACCTTGACCCACTGTTGCTGCCAGAGAGACGCTGCACGCTTTAAGTTACGAGCTATGATCACCTAGTCCCAGTCAACAACTACCACATGAGTAGAGCTGGGCAAAATTCTTTTGGTGAATAGAAAATATGACCCCAAAATGCATTTTTCAGGGCACCAAAACTATTTGTGAATTCAGGTAAAATTTGGTGACTAGTTTCAGCCAATATAAAATGGATTTTTTTTTCTGAAAAAGTCAAACAGTTGGTTTTGATCATTTTGAAATAAAATGTTTGGACTTTAAATTTCAAAATGTAATTATAGTTATTGGGGTTGAAAAGTGAAAAACATCAGGAACCAAACAATAAAACCATTGTGGATCGAAAAACACCCCAAAACCTAAATGGTCTCCCCTCCCCCAACAAGTTGTTTTGTTTTGATTTTTTTTTCATTGTTTTGGGTGTTTTTTATCTGAAACAATTTTTTTTTGTTTTGGTTTGATTTTTCATTTTGTCAAGAAACCAAAAAAATCCATTTTGGTTTGAAACTAACCAATTTTTTTCTGGTTTAGCCCCCAAACCAAAAAAATCAATTATTCCCTCAGCTCTACATGTGAGTTAAAGATCATAAGAAATGTAAACTCTTTCAGCTGTTTATCATTTAGTTCATGGCGATGCCTCAAAGCTCCTGTCCTCTGAATGTGTGAATAAATATTGTGTTTATAGGTAACAACAACTTTAATAATCTCCTATCCTAAATAAAATCCAACTATCCTTACATTAGCCAATAACTCTCCAGAGTTAAGGAGTAATATTCTGGAACTGGCTTAAAACTTTGTAACTCTTAGTCATTTTTAATTTGAAATAAAAAATTTTCAAATGTAATGGGAAATGTTTATTTCTCAACTTTTTAAATATTATTTATTAGTTTGTAAAATATAAAGTTCCAAATTCTGCCCTCAAATACCCATTAATAATAGAAGTTCCATTTGTGTATCAGAGGGCAAAATTATGCCCACATTATTTTCAGAAAACTTTGGGAATAATTACATGAAAATCTTCAAGAAGTTGTTTACGATTATGCTACTTAGCTTCAGGGCCGCCCGGGGGGTGGGGGTGGGGGCAAGAGGGGCAATTTGTCCCAGGCCCTGGGCCCCGCAGGGGCCCCCACGAGAAAATAGTATTCTATAATATTGCAACTTTTTTTTATGGAAGGGGCCCCCAAAATTGCTTTGCCCCAGACCCCCTGAATCCTCTGGGTGGCCCTGCTTAGCTTCATTCATAGTAGGACAAGGCAAGGCATTTTCCTTCTTGTTAGACAGTAATCATGAGACTGACATGCTGAACTGTAGTAATCTTTGCTATGTCATGTGGTTTGACTCCTGCCAAGCTATCTTGAAAATGAGGCTGCCATCTTTTTTGAGTTTAAATATTGCATGCTTTTACTTGTATCCCATTCTTGAACAAAACCCCATAAAATATCTAAATGCTGTATGCACAGTTATATTAACAGGATTTTTTCATTCCTGTTATGTTTCCCATAGGATGTAGAAATTTACATTGATCTAAGACCTGCTCATATTCAAGGACATTCCATTTGTGAACAGAGTTCTCTTTGTGAATTGTGTAGTGAAATTCTGTAATTTCTGGCATGCATTGTACCCAAATAAAAATCCAAATGCATAAATAGGGCCTTAAAAGCAATTTGCTATTCATTATTATTCATCCAAACACACACAATATATATTTCCTTTCACGATTCCTATCATATATAATTTAATTAATAATGCTAAGATTATAGCGCAGTAGTGAACTGAAAGCGTGAGTGTTGTTTCTTTTTCTAAGTAGTGATTTTATCCTTATATTACTGGGGAAAAGTAAATAAATACACTCCCCCCCCCCATGGTGTACATAATAATGCATTCATGCTTCCTCAGAGTGAGAACATTTCATATAGCTAGGAATACTCTCATTCTTTTGTTTTCAGCATAGTTAACTGTATATTCTCAGCTTGATCCTAACACATCTGAATGCCAGTCTGCAGCCAGAAAAATTAAATGAGGATTTTATCAATTAGCTCATTGTTAAGAAACAGTTGCTTTGTTTATTATGAAGGGACTGTCCCCTCCAACCATTAAATGATTTTTGGATTTTTTTACATTAAAGTGATAAATTTCTGCCTCTCTTCATTCAATTGCTTTTCTTCCCTTCATTGATATTTCCTTGGAAGGGAGGGACCCGTGTTTATAATCTGGCTTTTTCTTATTGGTGAGCAGTTAAGATAATGCTATTTCATCTGCAATCCAGAGTCAGATGCAGCCTCTCCTTTCTGTAAATAATATAGTTTAAGGGCTGACAGCTGTGTAAAAGGGGTCAGTGCCAAAAAAGACATGACTTGTGTACATATAGTGGATTCTGAATTAGTAATAAAAATTGCACAGCGATTCATTCCACAAATTTTCTCAGGAAGGGGCGTGTGGTAACTAAAAAATCAGTACCTGATAGGAGAGCAATACTTTCAGACTTAGACAAAATGTACAATTTGCTAGCATCTTTTGAAATATGCATATACTAAAAACTATATTGATACAAGATTAAGTTTTGCTGAACCCCTTAGGTTTTAAGGGCCAGATTTTGATTCCCTCACTCTCACTGAGTAGCATCTTACTCCATACATAGTCTCATTGGGGCAACGGAGCTACTTGTGGAGTAAGGCGCTATTTAAAAAGTGAGAAAAAGCATCTGAATAAATTTTTCCAGTATATGATCCCATGAATAAATGAATTAGGCCCCAATCCTGCAATTTTATCGGCAAAAGAGGACCCATGTGCCCCATAGGATCCCACACAGATCAGGCTTCAGGAGTGGGGCCTAACATTTGTTTGCTGTTAGTTTTTAACCTGCTTAGTCAAAACTTCTACGAAAAAGTTAGAAGAAGGTTTCTCCCTAGAGGTTATACTTTGGCCTGAATTGCGTGTTGGGAACTAATGAGTTTACATTTAACACTGTGAAGTGGGAGGAAAAAAATCTGACTCCTCTAAAGTTTTTCCAGTTCTGTAGTTTACATTGGAATGATTTGAATTATGCATGATTATCAAAATCCGTATAGAAAAGAGATTTACTATTAAATCTTGCTTTTATTCCCTCCTCAGCCATTATTGTGTACAGATTGCCCTGGACCTGGAAATGCAGCAAACTCCTGATTAAATTCATCCATGCTGGGTTAAATACCATAGCAATGATTCTTGCAATTGTTTCTCTGGTAGCTGTTTTTGATTTCCACAATGCCAAGAACATTCCCAACATGTACAGTCTGCACAGCTGGATTGGACTGACTGCTGTTATATTTTATACTCTGCAGGTCAGAATTTAACTAGAGTGTTTATAAATAAGATATAAAACTGAAGAATGTGTTCTATAATTAATTAAAGTACAGTAGAACCTCACTAATTTACATTAACTACTGGGAGACCTATTTTGATTTACTGAATTTTGCAAATGTGCAAATAAACACACAAACAATTAAAAAATGTCAAGGATACTGTATCACAAAATGTAATTTGTTCATTTTACTTTGATGTAAAAATAGTAGTATCACCACAATAGCATGGGCAACGGCGGAAGTGGCAAGGGCTAGTCGTCCTAAGTATGTACTCAAGGGGTTCAAGTGGGTTTGTACTCAGGGAAGCTAGCCTGTGCTATCATGGCTGCACTACTATTTTTCGTGTATTAGCTCAGATAAGAGCTAGCACGAGTATGTGTACACGACCTGGGAATCACATCCCTTGCTTGTTGTGTAGACGTACCCTACAAGTTTAATATGAGTCATTTTCTCTACCTTCAGTTTAGTGATTCTGCGTTTTGAGCTGAAGCCCATACAATAAAAAGAGGCCTTGGTTACCTAGTGGTCAAGAGGAAACACAGAAAATGCCCACTCCTGAGCTTTGTCCCTCACTCCCCAGGCTGGCAAGAGCAGGGAATCCCGTGGAGTCAGTGTGTTGATACTGCAAAGAGGGAGCATTTTGCATCGCTGTTCAGCATACTGTCTAGTGCTGACTAAAGGAGCAACAATTACTGGCTTATGAGGGGCCTATTGAAATATAAAAAATATTACTCTCATTAATGGACATTCCACCATTGCCTGCCGTTCGACATTTCTGAAGCGAAGCAGTAGTGCCTAAAGAAAAAAGTTTTAATGTGATAAAATACATTTTTACAAATTAATAGTCTGAATAATTATATTTCAGTAGAATTCCTGAGACTATGCTCATATACAGTACTGTAGCTAGAAGATACTCTGTTCCTATGGATATAGTACTGTAACCTGCCTTATCTGGACAAAATGTATTTGAATACAGTGAAGTGAAAGGTAATCTATCTAGGAATAGCAAAGAATGCAGGCCATCCCTAGAGAATGGGGGCTCTATCCTGGAAAACAGGGACTCTGAAAAGGACTTAGGGGTCTTAATGGATAAGTAACTCAACATGACCTCCCAATGCTGGCGCAAAAAAGGCTAATGCGATCCTTATATATAGAAACAGGGGAATAGTGAGTAGGGAGGTGATTTTACCTTTGTATACACTGTTGGTGAGACTGATACTGGAATACTGCATCCATTTCTGGTGACTGCATTTTAAAAAGGATGTTGAAAAACTGGAGAAGGTGCAGAGAAAAGCCATAAAAAATATTTGAGGGCTAGAAAAAATGCCTTAACATGAGAGATTAAAGAGCTCAACGTGTTTAGTTTATCAGAAAGAAAACTGAGAGGTGACTTCTTCACAGGGAGAAAATAAGAGGGCTCTTTAATCTAGGACAGTGGTTCCCCAACTTGTTCCGCCGCTTGTGCAGGGAAAGCCCCTGGTGGGCCGGGCCGGTTTGTTTACCTGCCACATCCGCAGGTTCGGCCAATCGCGGCTCCCAGTGGCCGCGGTTCGCTGGTCCAGGACAATGGGAGCTGGGGGAAGCGGCGCGGGCCGAGAGACGTACTGGCCGCTGCTTCCCGCAGCTCCCATTGGCCTGGAGCAGCGAACTGCGGCCACTGGGAGCCGCAATCGGCCGAACCTGCGGACGCGGCAGGTAAACCGGCCCGACCCACCAGGGGCTTTCCCTGCACAAGCGGTGGAACAAGTTGGGGAACCACTGATCTAGGGGTATGTCTATACTACCCGCCGGATCGGCGGGCAGCGATCGATCCAGCGGGGGTCGATTTATCGCGTCTAGTCTAGATGCGCTAAATCAACCCCAGAGCGCTCTCCCGTCGACTCTTGTACTCCACCGCCGTGAGAGGCGCAGGCTGAGTCAACGGGGGAGCAGCAGCAGTCAATTCACCGCAGTGAGTAGATCTAAGTACATCGACTTCAGCTACGTTATTCACGTAGCTGAAGTTGCGTAATTTAAATCGATTCCTTCCCCTCCCCCCCAGTGTAGACCAGGGCTAGCAGAGAAAGGCATAACAAGAGCCAATGGCTGGAAGATAAAGCAGGACAAATTTAAATTAGAAATAAGATGCACATTTTTAACAGTGAGTGGGATTAACCACTGAACAAACTACAGAGCGAAATGGTGGATTTGCCATCTCTTGATGTCTTCAAATCAAGACTTGATGCCTTTCTGGAAGATATGCTTTAGTCAAACTTAAGTTACTTGGCTCAATACAGGGGTATCCAGGTGAAATTCTCTGGCCTGTCTTATACAGATCAGACTAGTTGATTAAGTGGTCACTTCTGGCCTTAACTGATGAATGAATCTGTGAAGTTGTGGGAGGGGGGAGAAATCAAAATTAAAGAGGATACTGTTAAAATAAAAATAATTTTCACTCCATAAAGTATTATTGCCATAGTTTATTGAAAACGAAAGCTTTACAGTTGGAAGACAGGATACTGGACTAGATGGATCTTTGGTCTGACCCAGTATGGCCATTCTTATGTAATTTAAAATGGTGTGTTTCACTATGCAGTTTGGTTACTTTTTACCATTTCCACTTAGTTTGGACAGTGGTAAAAGACTGGTTTATTTATAATCCATTTCATGGACTGTTTCTTAGGTATAGCACAATATTGTCTTTGGGTTTAATACTATAGGGCAACATACTTAAAAATATATTCCTAGTCCAATTAGGTTCAGACCTTAGCCACTTTAAAAATGAACCTTTTATCGTGGTTTCAATTTTCATTTAAAAGTGCAGATTTCTTTCACAGTTTTAATGCTGAATCTGTATTCTGTGTTTAGCTTGTCTTAGGTTTTGCTGTCTTTCTGCTGCCCTTTGCTCCAGTTTCTCTTCGAGCATCTCTCATGCCAATACATATTTATTCTGGCCTCCTCATCTTTGCAACAGTGATTGCAACAGCTCTCATGGGAGTCACAGAGAAACTTATTTTTGCTCTGTAAGTACTATATTTCATAATTTTACTCTTCCACTTGTTTGCTCATTAAATTCAACCACTGAAAACTATCATCAAGTTTGCATACAACAATGTATTCTAGTATTGATCCATTGTTTATTTTTAACAACATGAATAGTAGTCTTTTTTTTAGGCAACTTTAAGATGATTGTCCTTAAACCAGTTCTTTTTATTTATTTTTTCCCTCAAAGGAAAACTCCTGCATATAGCACATCTCCGCCAGAGGCGATTTTTGTCAACACTCTCGGTCTTTTGATTGTAATCTTTGGTGCTCTTATTTTGTGGATGGCAACAAGACCCCACTGGAAGCGCCCACCAGAACAGAATTCTAAAATTCAGCAACCAAATGGAGGGACACCTGAAGGTACAGAAGAGGAATCCACTGTGACAGACTGCAGCAATACAGATAAATCTGATGTGGAGTTCAATAGTGAAGCAGCAGCCAGAAAACGAAACCTCAAACTTGATGAGGTAGGGCAACGGTCTACCATGTAAAGGGAGTACACAAAATTGATGTAGTCTTACATTATATAAAAAAAGCTATTCCTATCCAGCTATTGATTACATTTGGTATTTAAACAGGGAATTTCTATCAGGCTTGCTTAATGCAGTTCAATTTTTCTGCACAACTAGTATGAGCTGAAAAGGTCTCTAAAATTCAACAAGACCCACATTTGTCATGACATTCCTTATTGTACCTCTGTTTAAAAGAACTGAGGACTGGAATGAAAAAACATGTTGAGATTTGTGCCTTTTAAAAAAAATGTAGTATGTTTGGAATAAGGACGGAGTTTAAAAAAGCATCTAATGGGAAAATAATTTCTACATCACATCTTAATGTATCGGTTGTTTCTATGCAGTTTACTAGTTTCTTTAGCCAGTTATTATGACTGGGACGAAATGCTGCCCTGAGTTATGCTGTGAATGGACACGAATGAGAGTTGTATATGCACAGCAGAGTGCAGAATTTATCCATTAGCACATGCCTATGCTGTTTTATAATATTGTTCCACTTTCTTAAGGGCCTGATTCTCAAGCTTATGAGCATTCTCAATTCCCACTGAAGTCCATGAGAATTGAGGTCACTCAGAATTTTCAGAATCACACTATAAACATTTTTGGCCAAAAATTTTGAAATTAGGAAAGAAATTAAACAGAATTTTTGTTGAAATTTTCACTAAAATGTCATGTTTTTGACCAGCTTTTTCCATTTATTTTTTTTAATGAGAGTTCATCCACATTTTGAATTGGTTTTAAACCAGCTCTCATACATGTATAGATTTATAGCCAGCATTCACCCTTGGATACACGTGATTGCTACTGAAATCCATGGGAGCTACAAGTAAACATCTAACGGCAGCATTTGACCTGTCTTGAAACGTATGCAGTTTTTGCATTCACGTCATTAATAGAATTACAAAAACTATGTATTGGGTCATCGAATCCTTTCCCTTGGCCTCTGGAACCAGTACAGTATTGTCCTTTATGGTTGTATCTTATAAGCTAATATTTTGAAGCCTTTTTTTTTCCGTTTTAATCTGGAAGAGTAAGATGAGGAAAGCAGTGTCTAATGGTTTAAGCACGAGTAGAAATCAGGACATATGGTCTATGTCTACACTTCAGTTAGAAACCAGTGGTTAGTCTGTGCCAGCTGACTTGGGCTTATGGGGCTTGGGGTAAGGGGCTGTTTAATTGCAGTGTAGACAGCTGGCATGGGCTAGCGGCAGGTTTTTAATTACAGTGTAGACATACACATGGATTCTGTTCCCATCTCTGCCACTGGCTCACTCCAATCTTATAACCTCTGTCTTACTTTCTTCATTTGTAAATTGAAGATTTATGTAATGCTTAACTTAGGCAATTAATTTAACATTTGTAAAAGTGCTTTGCACTTCTATAGCTCCTTTTGACAATCAGTATTAATGCATTACTTTTATCTAAAATCTCTCTCAGATATAATAAATAGACATTGCTTTTACTTACTTACATAATTCTAGAAGAATGGAAAACTACTCTAATAGAAAAATAATTATAGTGGATGGCTTTATGTGATTTCAAGTGTCCAAAGTGATTAGCCTTTCTCTTGCAATCTGCTTGTATGGGTTGCCAAATTTACTTTTGTAATACTAGTGTCTAGACCTAAAATCATTTTGACAAGTGGCATAACTACTTCATGTTTACCACTATTCATGTTGCAAAGAGCTCTGGACTAGAGCTTTGGGCACTACACCACTTTCTATTTCTTCTAAAGACTATTTTCATTTTGATTTATTTATCAGCTTCTCACATATATTTAAACACATTAGGATCCCACCAATATTGTAATCTTTCTAGCTCAAAGTGATGCATTGACATACATAGTTTTGATTACTTATTGTTATTTTAGGTCTCCTTTGAGATAATAAAGTACCTTGGGTCACGAGCTTGGGTTTGTAATAACATTGAATCAGTTGAGTACAATACAAGAAAAGCTAGTATATTAATTCTTAGGAAAATTTCTCTACAGTTCTGTTTTGGTAAAAAAAAAGGTTATATCCTAGGTTTCTGTATCACTTACATATATGTCTGACAGAGCTCTGTGCTTGATCTTAATATAATTGCTTAGAAAAAGATTTCTACACACATTGTTTAAAAAAAAACATATTATTGACATCTGCCTTTAGGAGATCAAAAACTTCTACACATTTTAATGTAGAATTCAGATATGAGAATGGAAAATACTTTCTTCCCATTGCCTGATCAGACCTCCAGTCCCACTCTTTGTAAAAGAGAGGACTGCTGCTTCCGCTTTTTAAAGTGTACACTAGGTGTGTCTATATTTCCCAAGACAATCTGGATTCACTAAGAATCCCTCTGTAGTCTGAGTCTAAAATCAAGAAGGCACTCTGCATTTATGGTAATGTTTGTTAAGATGAGAGGAAAAGTGAGGAAAATTAGAGCACTTGTCAAAGTTCACTGTGACCAATTTATATGTCCTTGAAGTTACTGCATCCTAGTATGGCTGTACAAGTTACACATTAGAAAGGAAGGGTCACCGTAATTTATACAATGTAATAAATTGCACCTTGTTTTTTCCTGTGTTTTTTTTCATAATCTGATCAATCTACAGTGTTTTTTGAAAGATTGACTCAGTGAGCACCTGATACCTGAATAAGGCCCTTAACAAAACAAAACAACAAAGATGCTTTAGTGCTTATAAAAGCACCATCTTAACAACTCTGGAAACTTGATTCCTCTGTTTATCTATAGAACAGGTACAGCACAGGAAGCAGTAGTTTAAATGTCTACAAACTTGCCAACTATTGTGTCTCAACCACCTGTAGAGATATGAAATACATTTTTAATATCCATTTAATCCTTCATGCGCTGCTGAGACTGCTAATAAATGTGGGTGTTTTGTGTGCAATATGGACACCTGTCCAGGAATTGGCCTGGAATAGATTAATTTCACATGGGACATAGTACAGTAACTATTTAATCACTTAACTTGGGCTATGGTGGAACCAGAAACTTATAGGTGAAAAGTTCTGCATTCTGCTAACGTATAACTTGAGTTATTCTAGTCACTATGCCTTTTATTTTCTATTTGCTACCTATACTAAGATTAACTTGAAATTAGTTGTAAAGATACTGTTTAAAAGGGCAGTATCACTTTTCCCCCTTCCTATGAAATACATTATACAATCTTTCATTCTAAACAGATAATAAAATAACGTTTCTATCCCAATTCAAAAATGCTTCTTTTAGTTCCTTCCTGGAAAAATATCTTTAAAATAAAGCTGCTTTAAGGACTGAAGAAAAAATGTTCACCTTTTAAATTAATTAATTCCTAAAAGGCAATGGAAATTTCACATCCTAATTTAAATTATTACACTGTATGTGGAGCAGGTTACTTACCTTTCATCATAGGGTATAATAGGGTATTTCTCAGAGCAATTTGTCAAGAAATATGCATCACAGACATGTTAAATCTTACATCAGATAAATAAACTGCACATATTCTTGCTCTGTTTGAAATGTTGTAAATATGTAACTTGTATTACCTCTACTAAAATGTGATATGCAAAACAAGTTCAAGTCTTGTAGCAATCCGAGGGTCATTTTCAAAGGCACAAATGGGAGTTAAGACCACAGCTCCCACTAACTTTCAACTGGATGCCTAACTGTGCGTTTGAAAATGTCCCTCTAAACTATTAGGCTTTTAAAGGGAGACTGTCACAGAGCTTAGACACCAACTTTGGATTTGTGTAAAAATATATATAAATAGGGAGTGGGGAAGGCTACAAAACCTAAAATAAACAAGTATTTTCTTTTAAATTGAATGAAAACAGAGTAACTTTTAATGTATTTAAATGCTTTCCTACAGTACTGGGCATTGAGACATGACAGCATTTTGTTCCTCATGAATGCAACCGAACAAAAGGAAACTGAGAACTAAATTCACTCTCCTGAGTGAATGCCAGCAATAGACAGCATAAATTATTGAAAATTAGATTTAAAAATAATTTCTATTTTGAATATTTAAAGTGGTGGTAATGATTTTTAAGCTAAAATGGAGTTGAATAAAACCAAATAGCTGAATGTACAATAATTACATGTACATTTCTCTGCCACAGGTAATGAAGACGATTGCATATGATATGTAAATAAGGATTAACAATGTATATGAAAATTATAACCTGCGATTTTAGTGAGATGGTAAAAGAATATTACCAAAATATTTTCTATTTCATAAGATTTCTTTACTCTATTTCAGCCTATTTATAAGGAACTGAAGCAACTGAATGTTTTATCATTTGCAGTGCTTATTTGTAGAGAAAAAGAAAAATGTTTTATTACAATGTATATTTCCTTACTCTTTTTTGTAGGTCAATAAAAAGTATTTTTGAAGCTTGCAATACTACTTAGTGTAGAGGTGTATTCTGATACTAAATCTCAAGCATCTGAATTTGGTACGAATTCAAATTTGGGTTTTAATTACAGTGTATAAAATATATTGTTATAGTGAAGAGTGTGAAGAAAATTCAGTAACTGAAGATGTAAATATTCTCTGTAAGGGTACGTCTACACTACACGATTAATTCGAATTTAGCTAATTCGAATTTGGTAAACCGGTTGTATTAATTCGATTGTATGCGGCCACACTAAGCACACTAATTCGGTTGTGTGCGTCCATGTACTGGGGCTAGCGTCGATTTCTGGAGCGTTGCACTGTGGGTAGCTATCCCATAGCTATCCCATAGTTCCCGGAGTCTCCCCTGCCCATTGGAATTCTGGGTTGAGATCCCAGTGCCTGATGGGACCAAAACATTGTCGCAGGTGGTTCTGGGTACAGCCTCACCCCTCCCTCCCTCCCCCCCTCCCTGCATGAAAGCAACGGACGGCAGACAACCATTTCGCGCCTTTTTTCCTGGCTGAACGCAGCAGACTCCATACCACGGCAAGCATGGAGCCCGCTCAGCTCAAGACAGCAGTCATGAACATTGTAAATACCTCGCGCCTTATCGTACAGTTTATGCTGAACAAGAACCTTGAAAACCAGGCACAGAGGAGCAGGCTACAGCAGCGCGGCGACGAGAGTGATGAGGACATGGACATGGAATTCTATCGAGCCGCGGGACCCGGTGCTTTGGAGATCATGCTGTTAATGGGGCAGGTTATAGGCATGGAACGCCGATTCTGGGCCCGGGAAACAAGCACAGACTGGTGGGACCGCATAGTGTTGCAGGTGTGGGACGATTCCCAGTGGCTGCGGAACTTTCGCATGCGTAAGGGCACTTTCATGGAACTTTGTGACTTGCTTTCCCCTGCCCTGAAGCGCCAGAATACCAGGATGAGAGCAGCCCTCACAGTGGAGAAGCGAGTGGCAATAGCCCTGTGGAAGCTTGCAACGCCAGACAGCTACCGGTCAGTGGGGAATCAATTTGGAGTGGGCAAATCTACTGTGGGGGCTGCTGTGATACAAGTAGCCAAAGCAATCACTGAGGTGCTGCTACACAAGCTAGTGACTCTGGGGGATGTGCAGGTCATAGTGGATGGCTTTGCTGCAATGGGATTCCCTAACTGTGGTGGGGCGATAGATGGAACCCACATCCCTATCTTGGCACCGGAGCACCAGGGTACCCAGTACGTAAACCGCAAGGGGTACTTTTCAATGGTGCTGCAAGCACTGGTGGATCACAAGGGACGTTTTACCGACATCAACGTGGGCTGGCCGGGAAGGGTTCATGATGCACGCGTCTTCAGGAACACTAATCTGTTTAAACGGCTGCAGCAAGGGACTTACTTCCCGGACCAGAAAATAACCGTTGGTGATGTTGAAATGCCTATCGTTATCCTTGGGGACCCAGCCTACCCCTTAATGCCATGGCTCATGAAGCCATACACAGGCAGCCTGGACAGGAGTCAGGAGCTGTTTAACTACAGGCTGAGCAAGTGCAGAATGGTGGTAGAATGTGCATTTGGCCGTTTAAAGGCGCGCTGGCGCAGCTTACTAACTCGCTCTGACCTCAGCCAAAGAAATCTCCCCATTGTTATTTCTGCTTGCTGTGTGCTCCACAATCTCTGTGAAAGTAAGGGGGAGACCTTTATGTCCGGGTGGGAGGCTGAGGCAAATCGCCTGGCTGCTGATTACGCGCAGCCAGACACCAGGGCGATTAGAAGAACACACCAGGA